CCGGGTGGAGGACGCGTGCCACGTGCACCGACCCGTGGAATCCGCCCTTGCCCTCCAGCGCACCATCTGCCGTCTGCCGGAACGCCAGCGGTGGCGCCCCCGTCCGCGCCCGCGCGTACACCAGCCACGTCGAGCCGTCGTTCATTTTCAGGACCCAACGCTGCATCCCTGGCTTGAGAGGCCCGCCGTCGCGGCCCTGGCCGTTGTACGGGTCCCACACGGACAGAATGGCCATGCCCGTTCGCAGAATCGGCCGTGCGCCGTGGTACAGAGCCGTTATAAAGCCTTGGCCCTGCACCAGGGGAAACTGGACCGCCGGTGGCGCTGCCGGACCGCCCGGCCGTAGACTCACGAGCACAAACATGTCTGTCGCGTCGTCGAGCGTCAGCGCTGTCTGGTGGTTCAGCTCGGCCGCATCCAATACCAAGCTGGGCTGTATGGGCGGGCTGTAAAAGTACGAGGCGGGCGGGCCCTGGTGGCCGCAGGGACCTGTTGTCGGGCCGAAGACGCGCTGGTCGGGCGTAGCATACGACACAGTCAGTCCCCAGCAGTTCGTGGGGCCGCGGCCATTCGTCCAGGACACGGAGTAGGGCAGCAGGTACGTGGGAAGGTCTTGATTGTGCAGCATGAAGTTGGTATAAAATTTGTTGCTCTGCAGTGGGCCCGTGGACCGGCGGACGGCATCGGAGACGCCTACTGGCTTCAGCGGGTGGTCCGGGCGGGACGGGATGGCAGCCGGCAGACCCGATGCCGACGACGCGGCTGGCACCGGCGGGAACAGGTCCATGATAGAGGAGACAAGGGATAATGCTTTATGCTCTGGGGGGTGCGTGGTTGATTGGTAGCTGTTGAGTCCTGACGGTGAGGTCAATGGCCAACATGAAGTGATGTCATTTCGGGCTGTGGCGCTCGTGCCACATAGTGCGGATAGGCGGGGTCGCCAAGAACCGCCCTAGAATGTGCTATCGCCGCAGATGCAAGTCCGACAACGAAAGAATGCAACTGGTTTCAACCACGTTTCTCATTCAGAGTCTTCGGCATCGTAAGTGTCGTTAATTTATATATACTTCTTGCGAACGTCAAGAACAGGGTTTCTACCAAGGCCAATCTCCCATCGAAGCATTGTGTCTGGATTCTCAAGCCAGGCGCGTCTTGAAATATGTACATCGAACCATGCCCGAACGCACACTCGCGAACTGAGCCTGTAGTACTCTTGAGCGAAAGGAGGAGCCCTCTACGTCGAGCTCGCATGGATACCGTCCGAGCTTTCATTGTCCGGCATGTCCCTGTCGGCCGCGTCCTCCGTCTCCCCATCCATGTCGTCGCCCCTCCGCTTCTGCTCCTTTGCGCGCGCCTTCTTCTCCTGCTCCATCTCTTTGCGCACCTCTTCTTCGTCCCTGGCCCGCTGCGCCGCCTTGGCCGCCTTCCGGCACGCCCGCACCGTCTCCCGATCCAGCACCCACGGCCGGTAGAGCGTTGTCTGCGCGAAGCTGTGGACCTTGGCCCAGAACTGCATCTCCTGCTCGGTGGAGCGCAGGACAGCCAGCTTGACAATAAGGGCCTGCAGGACACCGCGGTACATTTGGAGCGCGCCCTTGACATTGACGACAGTGCCGGGGGCAATGGTAGAGGGCAGGGGAGGAGGCGTGGCAGCAGAAGGGGGCCACCTTTGCTTTTTGTACACACACTCAATGGTGGCTCCACTGCCGTCGTCAACGGTGTAGATCGTCAGGTAGTCGTTGCTGCTCATTGCGACGACAACGCCAGCGACGCGCACCCACTTGATGGGGTGGTTCATGTGGAAGTAGACATCTTGGCCTGGCAGGTTAGCAGTGGTGGCCGTTCAGCAAACTGGACAGGTATTCTGACTTGCCGTGGAACTCGGCATATTCGTCGAGGTTCGCAACATCGGCCACGCGCATGGGACACCACTGATTGAGTGTGGGCGAGAGGTGGAAGCAATACTGCGCGTAGTAGGAGATCTTGGTTGACGAAGACGTCGCTCCCACTGCAGTCTCTGCCGGCTTTTGTTCAGGCCGTTCTGCCACATTGGCCGCGTCTGCCGACGCTGCCCCGGTCATGGCATAGTGGAGCGACGAGTGATGTGGTCGAGGCAGAAGACGTTGTGCAACGCAAGTCGACAGTCGTGCCGCTGTGTTCGATGCGAGGATGATTTACGTCGCTGGCAACGCGCCTGTTGTAGCCACCCAGCAGCCTCGCCGCCCGCCGAAACCCCACTAACTGCGCTAACAACGGCATCAACAACACTCACCTTCACAAGGTCACGCACGCGATCACTCTTTTCAAAGGAAACAAAACTCTCAAAAAAAACCCAATTGATTCGTTGCAGTTGTAAATGGAGAGCTGTAACTCAGATCGCTAATCCTACATGCCGAAGCCGTCTAACGCCACAGAACGCCGTGCAGCCGCCATGCCATGTAAAGCTGTCCTTTGTAGAACCTCCGTCTACCGCTTCGTTTTCTTCCCGTTCTTGAGCCGAGCTGCGGCGGCCTGGAAGGCCTCCTCCGACGGTTCTTCGTCCTCGTCGTCCTCGTCCACGGCCTGCCGCTTCTTGCCGCCCTTGCCGCCCTTGCCTTTCTTTTTCTTCTGCTCGGTCGCCCCGTACTTGGCCGCCAGGTTGTCGAGGAACGTTGCCGACCGCTCCTGTTGACGCTGCTGAATCAGCGCAGCCAGTCCAGCCTGGTCGTCGTCCTTCTTCTTGCCTCCTTTGCCCTTGCCCCCCGTGGCCCCCTTGCCGCCCTTGGTCTTTGCGGGTCGCGGCGATGTGCTCTCTCCGACCTCCTCGCCGTCGTGGCTCCGCCGGCCCTTGCCGTTGCCAAACAGCTTGTCGTGTACGCCCAGCTCCTTGGCGTACTCCTCTGCCTCCCGGCTCTCGCGCGACGCCGCTGCCTTGCGTGCCTTTTTCGAGGCCGCCGTCTCGTTGGCGTACTTGGCAAAGGATTTGACGTCGCCCGCCGCAATCGCCTCGTCAATGATGGCCCGAAACCGCGCGTCGTCCGCCAGCACGTCGCTGAGCATCACCGACTCGTACACGCCGTCCATGTCGCCGCGGTGCCGCGTGTACGCCGCCAGCACGTCGTCCCGCTCCTCGTCCGAGTGCTTGTACTGCGCGGCAAACGTCTCGATGGCGCTGGGGTTGACGGCGTCGGCAAACGCGGCGCGGTAAAAGTCGGACCAGCTGAAGCCGTCCGAGTCGACGACGGACTCGGCTGTCGAGCCGGTCTCGTCGTAGCGCTTGCGGCGGGCCGGGTCCGACAGGACGGCGTACGCGAGAGCAACCTCTTGGAACTGGGTATGGGCCGTGTCCCTTTGTTCGGGAGGGACCTTGTCGGGGTGGCATCGGAGTGCTGCTTTGCGATAGGCGGACTTGACCTGGTCGGTCGTGGGCGCCGCGGCGCGGTCGAGCCCAAGGACAGCATAAGGATCGATGGCGGGCGGCTCGCCGGCGCCGAGGTCGTCTTCGTGGTCGGAATCGGAGTCCATTGCGATGTCGCGACGTTGTGTAAGATATTTGTTGTGCGTATTCTTCTTGTCGCTGTGCTTCTCTAGTAGTGGGCAAAAAGAGGGACGCATTTTAGCGGACGTGACGTGTTGCAGCGGTGTAACGCGTCGCGTCAACAGCTAAATGGCTGAACAGTGCGAGAGCGCTAACGACAGTTCGCACAGCTACCCCGCTGCTCGAGACCCACTAATGAATAGCTGGTGAACGGAGTGAAACTGAATGATAAACTTCACGCTGTTCGACCTCATGTCAGTCGACAACTACCTCGAGGACGCCGTTTCCATCCGACATGTCCGACCCATTGAATCACCGTGCTCTCGCCTACATGCGACAGGCCCTCGACCTGGCTCGCAACTCGCCCCCAAGGCCCTCCAACTTTCGCGTCGGCGCCGTCCTCGTCGACGAGGCCACCAACACCGTTCTATCGGAAGGCTACACCCTCGAGCTGCCGGGCAACACCCACGCCGAGCAGTGCTGCCTGATGAACCTGGCCGAGAAGCATGGCGTTGAGGAAGAAGGCTTGCCTCGCCTAAGCGAGGCGGCACTGCCTCGCCAGCTCGGCCTGTATACAACAATGGAGCCCTGCTCGTTCCGCATGAGCGGCAATCTGCCGTGTGTCCAGAGGGTGCTGCGGCTGGCTTCCGCGACGCCAGAGACAACGACTCCTCGCCAGATTACTGTATACTCGGGTGTCACGGAGCCTGATACGTTTGTCTCCAAAAACACGGGCCGCCAGACCCTCGAGGGTGCCGGCATTCGGTTCGTGCATGTGGCGGGCCTCGAGGACGAGATTCTCGCCGTGGCAACAGCAGGCCATGAGACAAAATCGGGGACCGGCGAGGAGATGACATAAAAGTAAGACAGTAGTGGCTCGTCTTCGGCTTAATATGGACATCCGGTCACTCGAGTGGCCTTATAGTATCGAAGCACATCGGGTGGCAGGCCACTATCCGGCTAATTCGTCCTCTGCTTGGCTATCCCGCTTGTGCAGAGCTTCTATTTAATTGTTTCCTCTTCCCGCTTTCCACATACTCTCCCACTGTCTACTCTTTTCATGTAGACATTCATTTACCCTCGCACAAAGTCGCCCGTTGTGTACTCTACGGAGGCTGTGCTGGGACCAGTGCATACCTGCTTTGAGTGACCATGGCTGCGAACCACAGGAGTCTGTCCCGGTTCGTGTCGTGTCACGGTCTTTGCCTTGCCGAAAGAGGCCCCGGGCAGGGTCAAACTTGATGGCTCCATCCTACAAGTGGAGATGAAGGACAGAACAATAGTGACCGGACGCGGGAACCGGGCACTCAGAAAAGTCTCCGTCTTACGTTTTTATATTGGACTGGCTTGCTTCTTGTCTGTCAAGCCGTTGGATTAAAAAGACGATTGTTCGCCGCATCTCTGGACAGCCTGCTCATATTCCACCTACGGTCTCTTTCCTTGTACTTCATTGCCGTCCGCCGCATTCACAACCTCACTCAGCATGCACCTTTCTGCCATTTTGGCGGCTCTGGCCGCGACCGGCCCGGCTGGCCTCACCAACACGTTGGACAAAGAGCCACTGCAGCATCTCACCGTCCCCGAGCCGCTCGCGAATCTCGGCATCCAGCGCGCCCGTACCGCCAGCGGACCCTTTTCTGTCCCCGGCATGGTCGCCAACGACACCAGCGACGACAACGGCATGGCGACCTTCCAGAGGCCTGCGCTCGTGCCCTGCGTCGACTGTTACATCACCGGCTTCTCCTTTGACGTGCGCTACGGCGACGGACCCAACGGGTCCGCCGGTGCCATTGCCAACGTTGACACGGGCATATACCTGCACCACGGCGTTCTCGTCAACCTCAACCGCTCCGACACCACCTGCGACAAGCTCGGCGGGGCCAGTATCCAGCGCATGTTTGGCGCTGGCAACGAGCGCGGCTACATCGACCTGACGTCCAACGGCACGCGCCGCGCTGGCTACTACGTCGCACCCGACGAGACCGTGCTGTTAATCGCCGAAATTATGAGCATGCAAGCTGGCGCGGCGCGGGACGTCTACGTGACGACGACCTGGGACTATGTGCAGGCGCCCTCGTCGTCGAATACGACGAAGACAGGCGGTGCTGCTGCTGCTGAACGCTGGGCTCCGGCCGTCCCCGTGTGGCTCGACATTGACGGCGACTGCGGGACCTATCTGAACGGCTCCGAGGTGGCCGTGCCGCCGGGCGACGCCGTGTTCTCCTACTCGTCGCCCCAGCCGTGGCATCCGCAGTCGGGCGCGGGCGGTGCCGCCAAGAACTACAGTGTCCTCGTGTCCGCGAGCCACCTACACGACGGCGCTCTGCAGCTCGACATTGCCAAGAACGGGGCCACGGTCTGCGAGGGTGTGGCCACCTACGGCGGGACACCCGAATACGTTAGTCAGGTGCCGGGCCCGGACATGCCGGGGATGCCGGGCATGAGCATGGGTCCGGTGCCGTTGACACACATCTCAGCCATCCACAAGTGTTATGATGTGGGCACGACAAGCAGCAGTGACGCGTGGTCCATCACGGCGCACTACAACTTTACAGCCCATCCTGGTTTGGAGACGACCAACGGCCTGGCGAAGCCCATCATGGGTATTGCCCTCTTGTTCCTCGCGGAGGAGTAGACCGCGTCCTGTGTAGCGACGCAGGGTTCATGCGTGCGGTAAAGAATTGGACGAGACTTTGGCATTCTCTATCTCTAGTGTAAGAATGTATGATACAATGAACTTCAATGACAATTAAATTGAAAGAAAATGAAATCGAAAGTAAATCAACGCGAAATATAAATCAGTCCGCTTTCTATGCCGCTTCATGAGGATAGTTTTGCCGTAGATGTTGCCCATGTTCCCAAATAAACCGTTCCATGCCATGTCGTCAGTCGTTTCGTTTTTGTTTGCTCCCAAGGCACACCTACTGTACTATACAGGATGCCATCGTTGCCCTGCGGACAAGCAAACGATGCTGCTTGACCCCTCGTGTGTTTCTCTCCGGAACACACTGTTCGTCTTTCCAGTCAAAAGACATTTTAGGCCTTAGATCTTGATGCCATCAAGAATCGGTTTCGCCTCCTCCGACTGCCACCAGCTCACACCTGGCTTGCCGGGGAACTCGTACGCGTCCATGCTGGCTGCCTTCATCTCCACGCTGTACCCGGGCTCGGTGGGCGTCGTGTAGTAGCCGTCCTTGATCACCGCAGGGTGCTTGAAGTGCTCGTGCAGGTGGTCCACGTACTCGAGCACCGACAGCTTGCCGCTCACAGCGACGTAGTCGATGGTGCTCAGGTGCTGCGTGTACTCGGGCAGGCCGACACCGCCCGAGTGCGGCACAATCGGCACGTTGAACTTCTTGGCCATCAGCAGCACGGCCAAGACCTCGTTGACGCCGCCCATCCGGCACGCATCAATCTGGCACACGTCAATGGCGCCCGCGGCCAGCAGCTGCTTGAACACGACGCGGTTCTGGCACATCTCGCCCGTGGCGACGCCAATGCCAAAGGGGCGGAGGGCGTCGCGCACCGCCTTGTGGCCCAGCACGTCGTCAGGCGACGTGGGCTCCTCGATGAACCACGGCCGGAACTCCTGGAGCGCCGTCATGTACTCGACGGCCTCGGGCACCGACCACACCTGGTTCGCGTCGACCATCAGCACGTTGCCCTGGTCGTAGCCGATGACCTTGCGGGCAATCGACAGCCGCAGCCGGTCGCGTGCCAGGTCGCCGCCGACCTTGAGCTTGAAGTGCTTGTACCCCTTGCTCAGCGTGTCGCGCAGCAGCGCCTCCATCTTGTCCTCGCCGTACCCGAGCCAGCCCGCCGACGTCGTGTACGCGGGGACGGCGCGGTTCCGCTCGGCGTCGCGCATGCGCTCGGCCTTGCCGACCTCGCCCGCCTGGAGCATCGCCAGCGCCTCGGCCGGCGTCAGCGCATCCGTAATGTACCGGAAGTCAATGCACCGCACAAACTCCGCGGGCGACATCTCCGCCACGATGCGCCACACCGGCTTGCCCAGCACCTTGGCCCACAGGTCCCAGATGGCGTTGACCACGGCGCCCAGCGCCAGGTGGATGACCCCCTTTTCGGGGCCGATCCAGCGCAGCTGGCTGTCGTTGACCAGATGGCGCCAGGTGGCGCCCCAGTCGGCGACCAGCGACGACAGCGTGCGCCCGCGAACACGGTCGGCCACGTGGTTGATGGCGGCGCACACAATGTCGTTACCACGGCCAATGGTGAACGTCATGCCGTGGCCCTGGAAGGCCGGGTCGTCGGTCTCGAGGATGCAGTAGGCGGACGAGTAGTCGCCGGCGGCGTTCATGGCGTCGGAGCCCGTCTTGTCGAGCGACGTGGGGAAGCGCACATCGCGCGTCGACCAGCCGGTGATTGTGATCTCAGGCATGGTGAAAATGTGAGGGAGTTGTAGGGTTGTCGTCGGTATTGGGAGAAGAACGGTTTAGGGTGTTCGTGGGGCAAAGACGAATGCCAAGTGATGTCCAATGGATGGGAAGGAGCCGACAATGGTCGAGAAGGGAAGGAGTGAGGCAGTTTGAACAGGCGCCAGCAAACTGGACTCAACAGAACGACTGGCAGCAGCTTCGTAAATTTGCGCGGCCGAGTATATGTACTCCGCACAATGCCCGGATGTTTCGCAGAACCTTTCTTATTTTCTCCGTCGTCGAACCCCGTCCTCAGTGCTCCCGTCTATCATTCCTCTTTCTTGTTGTTGTTGGCGACTGTTGGCGGTTTGCCGGCATTTCTTTCCCTCGTTCCCTTCTCCTGAGTCGCACCTTCCTGGTCCCGCGACGCGACTAACACCGGCGACTTCTTCTTTGGGCCGATTTAGTGAGGGGCAATGATAGCTTCGGCGCACCAGCCTATGAAGCTTTGGCGGGGGAAGGCGCCTGGAACGTCTCCAATGGCCAAAATTGCACCGAAAACCGGCCTGTGATTGATGGAGAAACTATTTTTATGGGGCGTTTTGGTGCGCTCGCTATATCTTTCTCCCCAGGCCAGTCCCAGAATTTCCATAGCCTTGACGTCTCGCCGTCCTCGTGGGAATATCCCCCCCCGGGTTCGCTCCTTGATCGGATGCGGAATATTTTGTCTACTGGTAGCCGGCTGGGGGTAATTTTAGGATTTGGCGGTCTGGGCTGGAGCGGATCTTCATAAGCCACTCTGCATGAGCCACTCTTCATGAGCCGCTCTGCTTGAGCCGCACTTTCTATTGTTCGACAATGGCTTCACATGCAGCGAGCAACGCGAAGTTCCCGAGCAGAAACAACAGGAGGAAGCTACTCGGTGTTTTGTGGCATTGTGTTACCAATATCTTTACTTGCAGTCGTAGGACAACGTAAATATTGCTGGCATGCGAAGCGCGGGACATGGTTCGAAGCAGGCCACATCGGCTGCCCACGGTACTACCCCCAGATTCCTTGTTCTTGTCGAAAATATATTGACAGCCGTTGAGTACACGCATCGTCATATGTGGTGTTTCATTGTTCATCGAGACATTGCAGAGAGATGTTGTTGCGGCAACCATTTCTCAAACTGTCGGTCTAGTTCGTTCGATGCAGTCGAGATGCAGACCAGTACTTAGACAAACTTTGTCAATTTCAGTAAATCATGTGGTACAACAATTCGAATGGAAATACGGACTCTTGCAGCTGTACTTGTGCAACGTGGGACGACAGTAACATGCCGACCCGAAATGCAGTGCATCTACGTGATACGGGTGTCTTACCTCTGCGATGTTCTGTCTAAGGGTCGTCTCGACTTTCATGCTCATGTTTTCTTCATGCAAGGGGACAAAGTAGAGTGCTTTTGCAGAGGTCGGAGCTTAACACCGCCGCCTCTTCATATACGACAGCGGTGTACAAGACATTCCATGCACGACATAACCGTTCGACCGGTGGTCGTCCGACCTACGCCAAGCAGTGAGTGAGACAGATCCTAGACGGAATGAGATATCAATGCAATGGAGCAAGATACGGACGAGAAGACGACCATCCCCTTAGCCAAAAGAGGGCAAGGAACAGTTCATAATACGAGGCTGGGCTGAGAACTAACAAAAAAGGTCATTGGTTCTCCGGCGCAAGTACTTTGCGCACATCAATTGTGGACTTCTGGCTGGTCAGCCGTCGTTGCCTGCAGTGCAGTGCTTTACACTGCACTGTCGATCCCAAGATCAGCTTCATTGCTCCCACAGAGTCGAACAGGCAGGGTGGAAAGACATGCCCAACAACTGGCCTGGCTTGGTTCGTGGCCCTAAGGCTCTGTACTCTCGAGAGAGGAATGCGGGAATATTTGAGACAGGGTCCACAAGGAAATTCAGGGAAACAGTTCCTCGACGAAAGGAGCATCCAGAAGCATGAGACAGCAGAAGCAACCTCGACGGCACTCCGAGGGGGTCATTAGCGGTCACTTCTATAACGGCCTTCGCTCTGCATGATCTGTTGTTCTAGATATGTGCTAGCTCACGAAAGTGGCAAAAGAGAGGCATTGGCAGCTCCATATCTCGTCTCGTATTCTCAAACGGGTTGCGGGAGACGGCGCGCCACGGAAACGAGCCGATTGTCCGTCACCCGTCAATACCCAGGATCATCATAGTCTAGTGAACTTCAGATCAGCGTGAACTTCAGATCAGCCCAACACAAGCCGGCCTGTTCGTTTCTGATCTTCAATCCAGCAGACGCACAATAAACCAACTACCAGCCAACTACATGTTAAATACAGTATTGTACAGAAAAGGACTCGGCCGTGAGGATACCTGCAGTACGTCGTAGTGGAGGGTAAAATCCGAGAAAAAGGAAGTAAAACTTCGTATAAGTGCTTCAAAGTGGATCGCTGCCCCTCCCATGCTTCGTTTTCAGCAACTCTCTCCTGCTGTCACTCGCCATCTCTGTGATAGAGAGGTTGGTCTGTGCCCCATCTGCTCCATCGTACTGTTGCAGCTGGGTATTGCTGGGTAATATGCCACTCGAGTCCCTAGAAGAGCGCGGAACTCCTGGAGGGACGGGCCTCATGAAGGCTCCACTCCTTCGGTTCTAGTCGTCGTTCTCGGCAACGCATCATGCAGATGGGTGCGTGGATTCGTATATTTTTGGCATACGGGCATTGTGTAATGTTGTTCGAATAGCGCATACTGAAGAGTGGCGTTCTATAGTGCTTCTGAACGCCTCATCTTTGGTGCTGTGTCTTGAGGAGCTCATGCCCTCATACTATCAAAATCCTCCAATTTTATGACGGTTATGAACCTTGCTTGGCCGCTAGGTGGACCTACCCTAGTCGTATCAAAGCCCATTGACTTGAGTGAGACAGACGACTGCTCAAAGAACCGACCGTTGTCGATAGTCGGCGGGAGCGAAGATGTTCGTACTCGTCAGCTTGGATCTTTGGTATGATGCCCTGTCTTACTTTTTATCTCTAGGTTCTCTTGGCTTGCCCGCCCTCCCGAATTCTGTCATCAGAGAAGAGCACATGTTTTTTTTTCGTCTCTGTCGTCTCCTTTCTCCCCATGAAATTACGGTCTCTATGAATTTAATCTGTATTTGATCGTGTGTTTCTCCCCTTGTTGTCTTGACTACCGTGAAGTGTCGTGCTACGCTCTTCCAATCGCAAGCGATGTACAGACACCAT